AAAATCTAAAGAAGGTCTGTAATGTAATCAATCCTGACTTGGCATCTTGACTTCAGTCACTATTCCACCTCTGAAGGGAGGAGAGCATTAGATAGGTTAGATAAAGACAGTTGTTTGTAGTGAAGGGCTAAATTATATTTCATGACATAATGATCTGCTTAGGAAAATTTGTCTCTGAACTACTAGTGACACTTCAAAATTAGATTTGTTTTTTAATATTATCTTCAAAAGGATGGAGCACCACTTTTTAAGTACATAAATCTAGTCTGAAATTAAAATTTGTCTTTTCACATTGCAAATTCCAAAAGGACATCATGAATACAAGGAAATGGAATGCCAGCAACAAATAAATCAACAAAGAGCAGTAATATTAGAACAAGACAGCATTAGCATTTGTAGACAGAAAAGCAACAAGCAAGTTAATAGAAAAGGAATGCAAGAACAGAGAAATGTTTGAGTGAGAAAGTTAGACAAGATTTTATCTTCAGAACATGAGAAACAAAGAACATGAATGGAGAGATGCTATGATTGAGGAAGGAAGACATGACTACTTTCAGAACATGAGACACAGAGTTCAAGACAGAAGAATTGCATTGAATAAAAATCAGACTATAAGATACCATGCTGGCAAGATGAATGTCATTTGCCAATACTGTGGAGCTATTAGATTCACAAGAAAACTGTTGAATTGCTACCAAAAGGAAAAGGTATCACTACCTAATATCCTGTTGTGAGTACAGGACTTGAATTTATCTCTGTATCCCACTAGCAGAGCACTATTAGTGTACTAACTTTTACCATTGCTTCTCTCTAAATAATTACAAACTATTAAGAATTCCATTTTTTGCTTATGTTCTTATCTGATTTTAGCTATATATATATATATATATATATATATATATATTACAACATTAGAATATATTTATTTGTGAGCAACTTGATTGCATTTCATGAATTAATTGTGTATAAATGGATATCACTTCATTTTATTCTTTAATCTCACTGATATTCTAAAATCATTGTAAATTGTCAAAATCTTTACAAGAACATCAATAACACAACAAAAGAAATCATTTTTATTGCTGCCTATCTTTCATGCATGCATAACATGCATCTCCAGATTGCACATGATCCCTGCCTCAATTGAGAAGAGTTAAGACAAGTAATTCTAATATTACCTTTCATGTGGGGGAGAATGTTATTAATTTATATTTATTTCATTCTATTTTATTGTAAATGGTTTCATCTATGCATCATACCACATTTCAGTATTTTTAAGAGGAACTATATCACTTTTCTTCCATAGACCTGGGTGCAAGACCCAATTTTATCTCTGTATCCCACGGGCAGTGCACTATTGGTGTAGTAACTTCTATCATTGTTTCTCTCTAAATATTTATGAACCTATTAAGAATTGTATTCTTTTACTTATATCCTCATATGGCCTAAGCATGTGTACATATGTATATATTATAGGATAGCATTAGAATATATTTATTTGTGATCAAATTTTATGATTATATCATCATGTATAAATAGATATAGTTTTATGTGTTTTTGATCTCACTCATATTCTAAAAATTGTAACTTGTTAAAATCTTTATAAGAACATCAATAATGCAACAATCTTTGGAATAAAACTAGATGCATTGCAAAAAATGTCATTTTTATTGCTGCCTATCTCTAATGTACACATAACATACATCTCCAGATTATACATGAACCATGATTCAATTGAGAAAAAAATTAAATAAATAATTCTAAAATCACCTTTTAATGTGGAGAGAATGTATGTAATTTATATTTATTGTATTTTATAAAAAATGGTTTCAGATTATTAATGAAGTTGTTTATCATACCACATTTCAGTATTTCTAAGAGGAATTAGATCACTTTTCTTATAACCATCTGGTAATGGATATGGTACAGAGAACAGCATTAAAAATGTTATTAGTAAATCTGTGTAATTTAAACAGGTTTTGCTGGTTAAAGTTTTATATGAACTAGTATATACTTTTAATTAACTAAGGAATATGACTTATTATAAATCATGGAAAGTAAAGAGTTAAAATTAAAAAGAAAATCTAAGATCTTGAAAAAACACATTAAAAATCATTTCATTTCATCCCTCAAATGAAGAAACATGTTTTCTTTATGAATACTTGTTGCCAAATTTTTCAAGTTGGAAGTTGGGCAGTTTTAAGACAGTAAGACCACAAGTAAGAAAATGATTTTTACAGGATGGGAAAAATGATTTTGGTGGGGAGGTTTCCAGATTATCATCTGGCAATATGCCTGCCAGTCAGAAACATATTCAAAAGGCTTTATGCAGAAAGATCATGTGGAAGATTCAAAAAAAAAAAAAAAATTTGTAGTAGTGGGATTCAATTTTTTTAAGCATACATTCTCTCTTCTTTTACATCCCAGATTTTTTGTTTATAAAATATGAAAGTACTCTCTTCATTTTTTTTCTTTTAAATTCCCAATATTTTGATAATTAATAATAAAGCCAAGAGAATTTAAGAACCATTTTGGTGAACTTGTATTATTTTATTAAATTGAATCCCAACACTGGATGTTAGCTAGACAGACACAAATACAAAAGAACACTTTTTGGCAAGGAATTGGAGGCTCACTGTTTGAATATTATCTATCTGTTTTTAGTCCTTCCTTTTTTTTACAAATTTTTTTTTCCAGTTACGAATTTGTTTTAATATATATATATATATATATATATATATATATATATGAATAAAAATGACAATAGGAAAACTGGTAATTGCTGACGTGTTTCGTCAATGTGGACTTTATCAAAGCAAAATATGAAAATGAAATCAAATGAACAAAGTAACTAATAAAAACAAAAACAGAATGTACCTAGCAACTGGAATGTGACAATGCTATTTTCATATTTTTAACTGAAAAATAATGTCAGAATTTCACGTGTTTCTAATATTGTCATTATATCTTATTCTCCACGTGACAATCTCTGACATTATTTTTGTTTTTATTAGTTACTTTGTTCATTTGATTTCATTTTCGTATTTTTATTTTGCTTTGATAAAGTCCGCATTGGACGAAAATGCATCAGCAATTACCAGTTTTCCTATTGTCATTTTTATTCATAAATATTGTCTTCTCTACCGATTAAATCGGAGAAATTTTCATATATATATATATATATATATATATATATATGCTCAAAGTTGTCAGATAAACAGTCTGAAGTTTATATTTTGTTATTTTAGTTCAAGTACTTTTAACATTCACAGTCATTATCAAGAACCGATGTGGCATCTGTGTGGTAGTTAGAATTCATTTCCTGCATCTTGGTATTCTTTGGGAAGCTGGGCATTTGTAATGGTCTAGCATTATGTCATTTAATGGCTATTGGGAATGAGACCACACAAAAAGAATGTGATTTATTTATTTAACTGTTTTAATTTTAGAAAATTTTTTTGTTTTTTGTGTGGCCTCATTCCAAATAGTCTTATACATGATGTTATGCTAGACTGTTCAAACATTTAACTTCCCAAAGAATACCAGGAGTCAAACAAAGGAATTCTAACTACCACACAGATAACACATGGGTTTTTGATAATGACATCTAAAGTACTAAACAAAAATAACAATATATATATATATATATATATATATATATATATTGGAGGCAGGGCTGTAGGATTTATATCATAGTATTTATGTTGTTAAGTTTAAACATTTTTAATGCAGTTAATACAACTACTTGTGGTCAATTATTTATACTGTGTTTCAATAAGTAGTTTATGTATTTCCCTAATGAATTTGTCTAAAATTGAAAATTTGTTTTTAATATGGTAATAATCAAATATTAACCTAATTCTTGCAATTATTTTATTCTTCTTTAGATTCCTTGTTCTGTGAAGAAGCTTTGTCAACTACCTGGTTTCCAAGAGAACTGGGACCAATTTTAATCCTTCTCCCACATATATCTTTTCAACTTCTCTCTTCATTCCAAAATCAATTTGAAAATCTTCAGGGTACAGCCATGCACATTTTTTATTCCTCTTTATAACTATCAAAACAAGTAGTAGCACTTTAGTAAGACTTCTCATTCTCTAGGCTGGTAGATATCAATTTCACTGTTTAAAAAAAAGGGATCTCCGTTCATACACACAAAACCTTATGTTCATAATAATAAAATATAATGTATATTGGATTTTAAAAAAAAAAAATTAATGGCTTTAAAAATTACTTTATGCTTTGGGTATGAAAAATGTTACCATATACAGACTTTGAAATGACTGAGAAAGAGATATGCATTTTTGTTTTTTTTGATGGCTTTTTATGGCATAAGGGTAAAGAAACTTACAATATACCTCCTGTCAGGAGTCACATTTTCTTCTGTCAAAATTTTCAATCTGTGTACTGAGAAAACTTTTATTTTACTGTTTAAAGAAGAGCAGGGATGCCTACTTAAAGACATGTACCTAATATTAAATATAATGTTTATAGTAATAAACATGTACTTAATATTAAATATAATGTTTATAGTAATAAAAATCAGAATTTAACTTTTCACCAAAGTCACAAAGTGCTTTTCAAGATGGTTGAGTATCAAAATAGATGTCCTAAGATGGAATAGATATAGGTTTTGAGCTTCTGATAATAAAATTCCTTTCTTTTAACCAGACTTTCATTTCTACATATAAACATTTTATAGCAAGAAATAAAATTAAATATTTGACTTTAATTGTTTTTATCTCTTGACTTTGCAGTCTTTGTTTTTATTATAAAACTTTTTGTAATCTTTAAAAAAATTTTTCAAATTGATTCTACTGATCCAGAAAATTTTTCCCTTGTCTCAGAATGAGCGAATATGAGAAGCAGATTTTCCCTCAAATTTAACAAAGGTTAGAAATGTAAATAGTTAAAATGATTATTTTATTAGAGGATTTTTAGAGCAGGTGTTATTCAGCAGTTTTAGAAGAAAGAGGTTAGTGTTATTAATAAAATCTCACCACTGGTGCCATCGTTTATCCACCAAAATGGATTTTTCCAGCTGTTTTCTGACAAATAGACATGAGAACAAAAGAATAAGTAGGTTAAATAAATTTGATTTCTCTATACATGCACATCATTGCAACAAGTTGTTCAGAAAGTGATTTTATACGAGAAAGATCTAATTAATAATTCTTTGATCTAAGCGATATTTTTATACGGTTGACACAGTAGAATTATTTAAAAAAAATAAATAAATTATCACTCTTCTCTGCCTTCAAAAGTAGAAAAAAATAATTTAGTACTTTTATATTTGTAGCAGTAAAAGCCTAATAACTTTTTATAAGTTTAATGACTTATCATCATTTCTCAGTTAATCACTAATAATTTAACAAATACTTTAAAGTTCTCTTTGTGATCTGTCGATGTCAAATCTAACCTTGATGGAACAATGGCCATTAGAAGAGTTGCAAGACATTGACTAAACAGGCCTGACATATAATGAAATCTGAACACTGATTAATGAACCTATATCATTATTGATGGATCATTGGAAATTTTCTGATGACCTTTTGGATTAAGACGCTTGACCCGGTCAACCATTCAGAAGAGTTACAAATACAGTATGAATCATTATTTAATTTCAAATTGGTTACTTAGTGACTATTTCCAAGTCTAATAATGAACATTTGACATAGATACATAAACCCAATTCAAACTGATTTAAGAGAATTACTATTATTACAATATATTAATGTTTGTATAATTCTGACATTAAATTATTACTCATCTAATTTCTCACTTAACAACTTACAGTGTTTGCTAATGATGGAATTTATACTTTCTTCCTCTTCTCAAAAGCAATGTGTGGATGGTGTAATGGGTAGTGGCTCTGAATGAGAAACTAGAGAGCTGAGCTCAAATTCTAGTCAAGTTTGTTACATTCACTTATATGAAAATACCCATCTCTTCTCCCCATAGCTAAGGGTTAAATACTAGGAATTGTATCTGGAAAAATCATTTTGATCTTGCAAAAATATTGTTAATGCAATATTCTCTCACAAAAAAAAGAGTTATTCTTACAAATATAACAATATAATTATTCTTATTAAAGTTGATTAAACTCTCAGGGCCATAGCAGCTGTTATGTGTGTGGGGGGACTTGGCTCCCACCAAATTTTTATCAATTGTGGTACTTTTTACAGGTTTTTTTTTTTTTAACAAAATACATTAAAGAAAGAAATACAAGAAATAAAAAAACTATCAAAGCAAGGAGATACTGGAAATTTTAAATGTTCTTGCTGTTAACCATCTATGCAGTCTTTGATAACTTAAGGCTAAATTCTAAATTTTTTTGACCCTCCAAAAACATTTGTCTCTGCTACAGCCCTTGACTCTACAAATGGAGCAAAAGTGAATATGTATAATTCTTATTTGTTGCTTCAGTTAATATGATTATCCCCACAATGATGAACAATTTGGAAGGAATGACTTCTTCACTCTTAATATAATCTAATTTATACAGCCTGAAGGTACAAAGAGCAAACATCTTGTGGAATCTGACAAACAGACTGCAAGAAATTGCTTGCAATAATGCAGGCCAACTGCCTTACATTCTCTCTAAAATGCTTCAGTATTCATTTTATCTGTCTCTCAGTGTAAATGTGACCAAAGAATGCTTCAGCTCTCTCCACCAGTTTTTACTGTAAAGTTCAACCTTGGGCAGAAATAGCACCTTTCAATTGGATAGGTAGCGTGTGTGGTGCATGTTTAATTTCATTATATATTCAATGTCTTCATTGGTGAAAGACAAGAACGGTAAGAAGTCTGTCGCTGTAAGATCATTTAACAGTTTAATAGATTTTGGCAACCACTTTGCTGCAGTCATTCTAAAAGAACTATAGAATAGAACCAACATTCCGTTCATTTTTTAATTTTTAGAGAAAAGCAGGATTCAAAGATTCTCTGTATCTTGTCCTCCCATCAGTTATACATACATACATAGCTGTGTTTTTGGGGGGAGTAAGATCAGGATTAACCTTTATCACTCTTATTGTGCCTTCATTTGCTGTACAAAAAATTATCCTGCCACTAAAGGTGACTTTGATCCCTAAACAATTGTGTGTTTGAATTTCATAGTTGTGTTTTCATATCCTTCTATGGCAACAAAAAACAACATTGAGTGAAATTAACAATAACAATAAGGATGCTGCAACTGAGAGGCGTTGAAAGAAAATGCAGTGGAAAGGGAAATAATATTAATAATGGAGTGTGTTAAAGCTTAATCTCACACAAAGCTAGGTCATAATGATTTGAAGCAAGGTTTTACAAGGCCAGGTGCTCTTCCTGACACCCAACACTCATGTTAGTACAAGTACGCCAAATGTTTTTATCAAGACACCATCTCTAGGAAAGTTGACATTCAAGGCTTGACACCTTATATTAGGTTGGTGCAAAAATAATGACGTAAGAATGTCATTTTTTGACGTTAAAAATACGTCCAAAAATGACATTATTACATCATTATTTTTGCACCAACCTAATATATATATGTATACATGTTACCCATTGGCTTCTATAAGAAGCTTATCTGCCCTTTGACAGGTCTTGTTTTTTATCCTGTGGGTTGGTATAATAACCTTTTCACCAGCAAAAAGCTAGTGGAAGTGCTGGATTTGATGCCTATCATCTGTCCATATGGCAGGTTGCACTGGGTTACATGTAACCAGTAACACACCTGACACTTCCTTACCATCAGAATTATTTTTTTCATGTAACTGGCATTACTCCTTTATTTACAATATAAAGGTGATCCAATATAACTCTTTCTCTCATTCATATAATTGTATTTGTAAGAGCAATCCCCCTAAATAATTTCTGCTTGAGATTTGGGAGAATACAGATTTAATAGAAAGAAATATGGTGGTTCATGCTTTGCCAAGTACTCTATGAATTAATATTTGTATTGTACTCTATGAATTAATATTTGTATTGTACTCTATGAATTAATATTTGTATTGTACTCTATGAATTAATATTTGTATTGTATTCTATGAATTAATATTTGTATTGTATTCTATGAATTAATATTTGTATTGTACTCTATGAATTAATATTTGTATTGTATTCTATGAATTAATATTTGTATTGTACTCTATGAATTAATATTTGTATTGTATTCTATGAATTAATATTTGTATTGTACTCTATGAATTAATATTTGTATTGTACTCTATGAATTAATATTTGTATTGAATTTATTTTTCTAAAAGAAATATTTAATAAAACAAAACCATTTTAAGATGAGTTGATTTGTCAAGCTACAAGTTGAGAGTTTCTTCAAGATTTTTGTTTGTTTAGTGGCATATCAACTCCTTATGGGTCATTTAATGCCAAAATTTTATTTTCTTGGGAGCATTAGTAATTTCTTTGACAAAAATATATTGCTGGTAATTTTTTCCTATGAAAATTTACTGCTGGTATTTTTATGAAAAAAATGTATTTTTATACTTTCATAGTATTTGACTCCAATTTGAGGGCAAGCTATTTGCCCAGGTGCTACCAACTTCGATCAGGGTAGTATTGAGAATAACAGCAATTAAGAGGTAGTTCCACACTCCTCAGAACCTCTCGATCAGAGGCCTTGCTGACGGATGCAGTTTATTGTCAAACTGATAGATATCAAATTACATTCAAAATGATACAGTACATTTCTTAATAAGAAATTTAAAGAAACTAGCTTAACCCAATTACTAATTAATAATCTTTAATTAACACTTCTGACACTGTGGAATTACTTATATGTTTATTAAGAAATTTATATTGCCTGTTATAAGTATATATATACATTTTCAAGACACAGTGAAATGTTGTTTGTGTTATAAACAAACTGGTGTTTAGTGATATTTTCAAACATATAATCAACCTATTCTGTGATGTATTTTTATTATATTGCAATTTGAGGAGGGGGTTGTTTAGCTGTAAAGTAGTTGACCGAAATCTTTGTATTTTCTCAGTCCAGCAGCTTGTATATCATATTCTGCCCTTCTGTTACTGCTAGGGCACTTATATAATCTCTAGACATTAGTTATATTAATTAAGCAATCATTTACATATCACTACAAAACCAAAATGACAGAATCCATGAAAAATTGTTATTCATATCTTTAGAGTCATTTATTCCCAATAAATAGTAATTTGCTATTTTTTCCAAACCACAGCCAGGAAACAATACTATGATAATGCAGCAGTGAAATTGTTAGTTACATTTTATCATATATATATATATATATATATATATATATATATATATTTGTGTGTATGTGGGGGGGCATGTATAATCAAAGTTGCAGCATTTGCAACTTTTATTCATTTTATGCATTTATAAAGTAGAAAACTTGAATTCCAAATAAGGATTAGCAGTATTTACAATACTGGAAAATTAACCTCTATATTCAATTTTTTTGCCTTTTAAATCTTTGTCAGAGGAAGAAGGATATTGCATCAGTAGGAAACTCTGCAGTCTAGATATAAACTATTTTACTTTTGCTGCATGTGTTGTGGTCTTAATCCAATATTTTGGCAAGAGTCATTGAGTACTTTCTAAATAAAAGCTTCTACTTTAAAACTTTCACTAATAAAGAAAAGTAGCTTTTTCTATTAGTAAACATAGGGAAGAAAAAAATCTTTCTTTCATTCTGGTTAAAGGCAGAATGAAAAAAAAGCACTGTGGAAGAAGCTGAGACACTGGATTAGACATTTGGCTTTATCAAAAAAACAAAAAAAACAGTTTTAAGAACAAATCAAATGGATGGATGTCTAATGTGTTTTAAGGCATCAAAAAAAAAACAAAAAAAAACAAGAAATCAACACCAGCTTGAATCTTACCTTTTTCACAGTGGCGTCCCATTCTATCTTCAGGGCAGGTACACACATAGGTTCCAACATCAGTGGATGAACAAGTTCCTCCACCTTGACATGGGTTGTTTACACACATGTCTTCATTCTCACAATACTTGCCTGGATAAAAAGAAAAAGTGAAAACAATTATTTCTGTTTCATTTCAAACTTAATTTCAATCACCAAAAATCAATCCATTCTGTTTCAACTTTCAAATTAAAGCAAATAATAACAAAAATTTACTCACAAATTCATTTTTTTTATCTCTTTTATACATAGGTGTGCAAGTACTGTATACTTATTGGGGCAGGAAGTGGAATTGATATGCTGAAATTGAATTCTGTGACTTTTATATTTACTTGACATTAATACCCTTGGAAAAGGCATGAATCTATCTTCCCCCAGTTATGAGTTAAATAACAGGGTAGACTGGGTTCTCTTGCTTTGAGTGGCAGGCAGTCAAAGAGAAAGAAATCTTTGAATTCAAACCAATGTCAAAAAGAAGTGAATTCATTGTAATAAGACTTAGTCTCACCATTTACTGTAACTGATCCTTCAACAACTATGACACTGGTTCCAGGTAATGTCAAGAAAGTGGGTCAGGACCTGTATAACTCCTTATTAATCTAAAAAAATTCACTCATACATATTCTGTTCCTTCATCATCTCTTCAAATGGATAGCATCTCTCTCTCTCTCTCTCTCTCTCTCTATATATATATATATATATATATATATGAATGAATAATCAAAAATCTTTTTATATGTGGGGAACAGACTATTTTGGCAGATGATGAAAGTGGTTGTCTGGCTTTTCAACCTGGATGTGCAATAAACTTCATGTCCATAGAGGAAATAGGAATTAATTGTAAGGAGGTATATTAGAGGCTAGAGGGTCAACCTAAAATTTAACTTGCCAAAGATACCCAATATAGTGTTCACACTTTTCAATGTTTAAGTCAGACAATAGGCACCAGACAGGGGTCATGGTGGGTGCAAACAATCCATCTTAAAGGAGAGAAACTGTATTAAATAAGTCAGAGAATATTAACCCTATGAAGGCAAATTGGAGACATTAGAAATAGGAAAGAATAAATTTAAATTGATAGATAATTTTAAGATGTACCACCTGCCCTAAACCCTGTCAGGTGCCTATCATCTGACTTAAACATTGAAAAGTATGACCAATATATTAAGTACCCTCAGCAACTTAAATTTTAGTTTGACCCTATAGCTTCTAATATCAGCTTCTTATAATTAACTCCTACTTACTCTATAGACATGAAATTCATTCCACATTGGGGTTGAAAAGATAGATAACCACTTTCATCGCCTGCCAAATTTAGTCTGTTCCCCGCATGAGGTAAAAAGATAGTTTTGATTATTCATTCATATTGCTCTGTATAAATAAAATACATTGAGCTCTCTTTTGTGGATTAGTTTTAATATTTTTATGTTACCTGGATCCACTCGGATTATATACCCATGGATTTATTTTACCTTTATTATATATATATATATATATATATATATATATATATATATACAAACAAACAAGTTTTACTAAATGCAATAGACAAGGTCTGTCAGCATAATCTGTTATTGCATTTTTCTAACTTTCAAATAAGTTATTGCATATTCTGATCAAAATTGTGGATAAACTTTTTGAAGTCCATGTTTTTTCTGTTGTTTTGTTCAAGTATTTTCCACTGTTTTAGTCCTTTTCAAGAACTATGTGGTTTCTGTGTGGTAGGTAAGATTCCATTAGCTACATCCTGATATTTTTTAGAAAGCTGAAAGTTTAAAATAGTGATGTCATGTGTAAGGGGAGCAAGACTGCACCAAAAAGAATGTTTCTTTTTTTAAAGGCATATTAAATATTTCATACACACTTTAAAATTTTGTCTTCTGAGATGGTTGAAATTAGTTGAACAAGACAAGAGAATGAACATGAATTTCAAACAGTTTATCCAGAATTTTAATCCAAAATATACAACACCTTATATATATATATATATATATATATATATATATATATATATATATATATACTACCTCTTTGAGTAGATGTCTCATGTGCCATAATCTAGAAGAACCCTTGAAAAAACCTTTGGTCAAAAAACACAAGTTCTATGTAAATCAAATTACTGAAAATATCTTGCTATAAGAGAGGTCATGTACACCAAACATATCTACCCCACCATCAACCTAAACTTGTTTAACAATGGAAGTCGCATGCTGAAAGTTTTTTTAAAAATAGAAAGTTGCTTTTGAATTCCAACCATGGAATATAAAATTTAAAATTCACAGCATCCTTGGTTTGTGTGCATGTGCAGTTGTACCAACATAAACAAATTTAGTTCAATGAAGTGCTAAAGGATGAAACACATGACAAGAAAATTTTTCCACTTTGTCATACATTTTTCTCAAATATATATGTTTAAAATTTGCTATATTAGTAGAGGAAGAGTATTCAGTATAGGTATAGAGAATTTACAGATCTAGACAGAGTGGACAACGCTGCATTGAGATTGTCAGTTTCATACCGCAAACAATCTTCAGACCATATGTAAACCAAGTAATGTTTTTCTTGTGATAATAAGAATGAGAGAGAAATTCATGTTTCTGAAATTCAGACTTAAATATGAAAATTAATAAGAATTAGAAATATTTAATTATGGCTCATTGATTTCATATAAAATGAATTCAGAAGCCAAACAAATTTTAAAAATATACATCCTGTATTTAATCTATCTAGAGTTATTCTCATAGATTAAAACAAGTTATTTTTTTAAGTACATTTTTATTTTTTTCATGAATCTTTTATTATCTCAGAGGGAGGTTGATATTTTATTGGAGAGCATCTAAAAGGTATTTCTTTATGACTAGAATTGATTAGTTCAGCCTGACTTTTACTTTATCAATATTCTTCAAAGTAGGTCACTTCTGAGGCTTCTTAAAAGTTGGTCAGAACATTGTTAATGGACCATAATAAAACTAAAAAAAAATGTTGTGTGGATTATATATTTAAATCTGTTTTAAGTTCTCAAGAGAGAAATCTCCATAAACAGTAAAAAAAAAAAAAATAAAGGCAGAATTCGAACATTCACTTATAGTGGCGGTGGTTCGTTTGATGAGGAAAAAATAAAGCAAAACAAAGAAACACTGGAGTGATTGTCTTAGAATCCATATGAGCAGAAACAAAAGAGAAATTCTAATTTGTTCAACTGTCAACATTGTTTTAAATCTTAGCCCCAAGTTTCAAATTGAAAACTCTTTCTAATTGGTTAATTGTGATTGAACAGCTAGACATTTTGCTTGTGGCTTTTATTCTACTTAAAAGATTAAATTGACATCCTTATGAATAAAATGTGCAGTGCCATTCAGATCCAGAAAATGGTTTAGGAATTAAATATTGTAAAAATAATAGTCTCAGCTGGATTGGGAGGAAGATGGAAAACTTTAAGGTGGAAGAATTTGTTCAATTTAATGGTCCCAATTTCAATTTATCAATGTGCAGAACATCAACATTTTGTAGGTCATAAATATTCACAAAGTAAGATTTTTCTTCTTTTTTTTTTATTTACAGTAAGGTTCACCCTGTGCAACGTTGGGGGGCCACTCAGGGTAGACGGTAACATTAAAGGGTAGCTTATATGGGGAAGAGGGGAAGATAGTGGTTGACTCTAAATCGATTAAGATTGTAGTGATCAAGGAAACATCCACTTAGGAGTCTCTTCAATAGGGCAGTGGTTCACAGGAAGAAGTTGTTTGAGTGGAACTTACTTCTCACTGATGGAATACGAAGGGAATGTGAGTGGCTTGCTACTATGTAACTGACATGGTAGATCCTAGACATGAAGGTCAAACCTGCTTTATGTGACTATTTAAGTCTTGATTTAATATTGAATTATGAATGAAGTTTATGGCAAATTAAATTTTGTATAATGCTCCCCAAGTATTTTTTCAAACCATATGTCCCTATTTCTGAGTCTGAATATATATTATTATGGTAAGTTGATTCTTAAATAATGGCCATGTAGGGATTTTTATTTTGAGTGGATTGACATGGTTGTTAATCAGGTTTCCAGGGTTCTGGTTATATTAGGGCACATTGACTTTGATATGGTGAATGAATAGTTAAAAGCTACAAAATATTTTTAGATTTATGTTACCTTTAATTAGATACCTTAGATTATTTTGATTATGAAAACTGTTTCACAGTACATTGAGTTCTATATATGGACATTTGTAGTACTAGACAAGCTTTTTCAAAGTAGATTCTGACAGGGGAGGGGTGTATTAAATTCCAAGATGTTTTCACCATGGTAGTGTCTCTTAAAATTTTGAAAGTATTTTTATATATGTCTTACTAAAATACCAACATTTTCTCTTTTTAATTTTTGTTGTTTGTCAGTCAAAATAAAAAAATTCAGAATAAACGATGAAAATAAATAAAAGAGAAGATTTTCTTTGGGGAAGGTGATAGGTGAAATTGAGTGAAAAAAAATGACACTATAAAAAGAACTATATTGTAGGAAGCACAATTGCATATTTTAAGAAGTTTCAAGAACTGTTCTGACTACAACCATAAGCATATTTATGTTTGCATTACTAGAAAGAAAAAAAAAGAAAAATCAGAAAATAGTGAAATTATAATCCTTATTTGATTGTTCTTTATAGTTGCTTTATTTTTGTTAATATTTGGTTCCATCACTTTAGTACCTAGGGTACTTGCTGAAATTTTTGAATCAAACTGACTCCACCCATCAACTATGTGTCCAGGACCTTCCTTAGTACTCTCTGAATATGAGCTTATTTACTTAAAGGATTGTTGACGTTATACCAACTCCTTTATGGGTCAATCAATCATGAAATTTAATTTTCTTGGGAGCTTTAAAGTAATAAAATAGGACATATTGTTATTCTGCTTTCACAATTGTATACATGGTAGATGATACTCAGCTTTTGTGCATATACATGTTTGTGGGATATAAATTACTAAAAGCAATGATAGGTGTATTTTATGTTGTAGTTTTGTTGAAGTTATATTTTGGAATACAGTTTGATTTCTTTAAGAAATTGTAGTTATGTGGATTAATGTCATGAAAGAGTTCTTTCATGTTGGTTGTTTGGTTAATTTTGTTTAACAGCATTTCAACCTTTACTGGTTATTTAATGCTGAAATCTAAATATTTTGAACACAGTTTTTCGGATTCTATTAAATATATTTTGGACACAATTGTATGCCTACAGATAAAATGTATTGTGGGTAATTTTTTATGTAAAATGTATTGTTGGTATTTTTACTATGAAAATTTATTTTTATACTTTCATAGTGTTTTGTTTGCCCACAGCTGGGACCCTAACAGCAGTTAAGAGGAGGTTCCATGTTCCTTAAAACCTCTAATCTCTTGATCACCTTGCTGGCAGATGGAGTTTTTAAGGATTATCCCAAGAACCCTGGCTGCATAATTCATAACACAGGCATATTGGATATGAGAACACTAATTAAAAAGACAGGTGGTGTTTTGGTAAGATAATTTAGTACTGTTGCTACTGCTAACTCTTACACCATGAAGGCATGAAACCCATGAGAGATACATTCTCCCTTCAACTATCATGGTCATGATAGAGCATCAAAACATCCTCCATTACCAGATTGAGCTGCTAGATATATTGGCAGACAACATCCTTCCAGCAGCAGTGCGGATGGCCATAAGATCATCCCCAGCCTGCAGATGGTGGGTTGAATTAGTAGATGACTGGTGAGATGGCCATTAGATCATCACAGGAAGTCACTGAGCCAGTGAACACTGCACTGTGTGATGGTGCGGAGGATGCTCATCTGGGCGGAGCTTCTTATTGATCACAAGATTGGAACAGTGCACCCCTCAATGGCACGGGACTCAAAGCTATGGACATGAAGAGTGAAGGTCTTGCTAAGAGTCCAAGTCTCAATGCCGTATAGTAGTACAGAGAGTATATCTGTGTTGTAAATACCTTAGTACATATGTACAAAAGTTACAAATTTCCAGACAGTATGGTGGTATCATGAAATCTCTTTGAAAGTAATATGGTATTCATGTCTTGGAGTTTGGAACTCGTCACACCAATTTTGAAGGTCTTAAGTGAAGAGACTGGTGAAAATATAGATGCTGGCATTTTAGAATTATTTTCTGGGATTCTTCTAGACAATATTGGTATCAAGATACCAAACAAAACCCCGAATGGAAGAGGATAGAAAAACTATGGTTTCTCAATTGAACTACTGAAACAGTTGTTTATATATACATATATATATATATATATATATATAAAACAGTTGTTACATATAATTGTGACATGCCCTCAAGGGAATGGAAATTGCAAGTTATGATAAAAGATAATTTTCTGAAAAATATATTTTAATTAATTTTCAAACTGAAGTTATTGCATAAAGCTTACATTTTCTTGGTTTTCTTAGAAAGATTAAAAAGCCAGACATAAAAGATATGATGATTGCACCAAACATAATGTCTCCTATTTTATTATGCTGCATTTAGGTTTATTTTGTTTTACGGAATATCAACATCTCAATGGGTTATTTAATGCTGACAAAATTTTTAATATAGATTTGTATGAACAGAATATTTACATTTTACAATATAAAAATGTATTGCTGGTAATTTTATTATAAAAATGTATTTTTATTCTTTCATTGTGTTTTGTTTTGGTTGGTGTTTAACTATGTTCCCATAGCTTGGAGCCTAACAGGTTCTACCACCCCAAGTCAGGGTGGACCTTCAAATGACAGCAATTAAGTGATGGCTCCATGCTCTTCAAAACCTAATTAGAGGGCTTGCTGCCGAATGTTGTTTATTGACATAATCAGGACTGTTGATCCATGTCTTTAGGGATATAGCAGAAAAAGTAGGCTCATAATTTTATTGCCTTGTTAGAGACAGCAGCTGAGCAGCAATCTGGTAAAATGGTGTCTAACTTGAAAGTGTGTAAAAGCAAAAGTTTATCACTGAATTCTTCTATGTGGGAACAAATTGGGCTTTTTGACATGCATTGAATCTTGCTAAACATTGACAGTGACCAAACAGAGTATGTGAGCATAGTTAAGTAGTAGATAATGTTTTTCAGCAGTAGTAGCAGTGTTGTGGGAAACAAGCCACATTACAATATATGGGCTGGTAAAAAAAATGTATACCCAAAAGTGGTATGGTAACTACAGGGTGCGATGGGTAAATTGTCATCATTTTATATTTTTAATTTTATTCATGCGTATTGTTTGTTTTTGATTTTGTTGAGTGCACAGTATAGTAGAGTCCTTGACGCAATTCCCTCTGCCAGAAATTTGGAAATGGCATGCTGTACTGCTTGGAATTTGCACCTGAAGCTCAAATATAAAAATTTCAGAGTGTTTGGGTGTAAATCTGAGAACAGTGTAGACAATTCAGAAAGAGTTTGATGAGTCTAATGGTGATTATGAATTTGTTTGGCGTGATCACTAGTGATTGCAATGTTATGCCTTTATCTTCTCACAGGGCCTCAGACTCAACATGGAGACCTACACCAAGTGCCTTGAGGAGGTAGTGCTGTCCTGGGTTAAGAGTGTGGCTGCTAGAAGATCCCAATGTCTGTTGAAGGACTGTGCACTATGTCACAGAAGCAGGAGAACCCAGCCATAGCTGTTAGACATTTTCTATGATCACATCACCCCTTACATCTGGCCACCTAACTCTCTAGACAGCAACCCCTTTAATTATTATGTGTGGGGCTCAGTTGAGCAACAAATTCTTTATAACACCAAAGATGAACTGAAGGCAAGGATTATGACAGCATTCACCAACTTAAACAAGGAGACCATCCAGAAGAGATGCTGGAGATTTCAAAGTTGTCTGGAGGCAGTGGTTGAAGCCAATGATTTTACTGAATAAATTTACTCTTTAGTATTTCAAGATATTTTTGTTTAATTTTGGTAAATATATCTGTTAAAATGAGATTTTCATTTTTACGTAATTTATATGAAAAAAATAATGTTTTATAGCTGAAAAACTTATTCTATCCAATGATTTTATTGTGGCCCTTGTATATGTTGCAGTTTCTGTGGAAATAAATTAGAAACATTGCTTTTGCAGTATTCTTGTAATTTCATTTTTAGTTTTTCAAGTGAGAATTTTATCTGTAAACAAAATATTAAAATATGGTGTTAGGAATATGATAATAAAATGATGTATATATTAAATATATATTAAGAGTTTTGATAAAATATTAATAATGCTTATACAAAAAGAGGGGCTGAAAAGTTACCTATCCAACTCATTTCAAATATTAGAATTTATCCTATAATTATAGAGATGTGTAAATGATTCCCTAATTAGCACAGCTAAGGCATAGACTATATAAAATCCCAAGCAGTAAGGGTAGAGCAGTTTTCGCTATACAGGATAAACAGTTACTGCTAGACTGATGAAATATATAATTCATAAAAAGAATCTTTCCTTGGTTGGACTGAGAACTTTTCATTATCCCTCTTGTATTGTATGACATTCACATTCAGTTGATGTAAACTTTTCTTTTTTTTTTTGAAAAAAAAAAAACAAAGTAGACTCACCGATGAAGCCTTCTTGGCAAATACACTGAACCATGACAGAGTCAAGCATGAGGCAGTTCCCACCATTTTTACATGGCATTGCACTGCATGGATTGTTGCCACATTCGGCTGCAAAGAGAAAAAATATTTGAAAATGTCTTTAGATTCTATTTCTCTTCATTCCAAGACTCTTAAAGAGAGGAAGAAAACTAGAAAATGGAAGTTACAAATTGATTTAACATTCTGGTTGATAGAAAAAACAATTCTCAATACTATTGCAAGACCTCTCAATAGATTTTTCATAGCAGTTCAATGAAATTTTAAAACCAATGATGAGAGAGATCCTACACAAGTTATCTTTACTCAAATCCAAGTATCAGTTCCCCAAAAATGACTGAGAATGTGATATCTAAGATAAGCAGTTCAAATTAGAAGGATCTTAAGGTAAAGGAAGCTGTAGAAAACAATAGCATGATTGTGAAAATCATGCAGAAAATCACCTAGTAAAATTGTTACAGAGAATCCTGAAAAGGTACTGTTTCACAGTGAAAAGAAATGGTGGAGGATTACAAACTGACATGATTGAGAAAGTGGATCATTTTAGAAATACAGAATATTAAGATAGTATACAGTGGCAATCCGCTTTAATAAAAATGGAGAAAGGTCTTAGAATTGCACAGTTTTATCTCTAAATGTAGGAAACTGAGAACTACCATAACATGAGAGTATTTTACAAAAGGTTAACACAAAACCTCTGAAAAGTATTTGCTAACTGGAAGAGCACAGAAGGTGGAGATAAGGAGGACATGTTAATGACTGTTGTTAATCTATAATTCTACAACAGACAAAAAGCAAAACCATTGCAGAGAAAAAGAAATATATGGATTCACAAACAAGTAAAGGAAGCTTTTAAAGGCCATCTCCAATGGGTGCTATTCACAGAAAATAATTTTATAAAGGTGTTTTGCAATGGTATAGTGATTAAAAAGAAATCTAGCAGGTTGAATCATAAACAATTTCCATTTACGGGAAATACTTATAGTGATAAATGTATAAGCCTATTCTTTAAGTTGTTGGATGAGTTTGCTAATTTCTACTTATTCTTGATAAATTCCAAAGAAGAATATGCAATATTATTGGTCTTGGTATATTTCCCACTACCATAATGCAACTTCCCTGTGCCTTTTCTATAAATACTTTCATGATAATTGTTCTGATGAGCTTTCCTCTTTGGTACCAAGACTTTACAAATTTAAGTACAGTACTGGATTGGTGGCATGAGGAGGCATGGTGGAGTTATGGATAGCGGCTTGGATTGAGGAATCGGAGAGCCGAGTTCGAATTCCAGTCGAATCCATTACATTCACTTACGTGCTAACACCCTTGGGAAAGGTGTGAATCCTCTTTCTTCTCCCTCCAGCTATGAGTAAATAGCAGGACAGACTGGGTTCTATAGCCTTGGATGGCAACTGGTCTAGGAGAAGGAAAACTCTGAATCCAAACCTGCTCTTAGATGAGGGTGAATGGAGTCTCTCTGAGCCTTGGTTGGCAATCCATTTAGTGTTGGTGTCACGATAAAAAGACCCTTGATAGCCCTAGTGAAGCATCAAGAATTCAGCTATTTGACAAGATTATGAACTACACCAATCAAAGTATTGGTGAGTTCAATCTCGGCTGAGGCCGCAAGATGATGATGGATTGGTGACAAAGTCTCATAATTTTTACAGTTGAAATGGCTAGATATAACCAGAAGTTCTATGCTAACTGTTTCTTCTATTGGACTTATCACTTGTGCAACTCTCATTTGACTTATTGATTTCCAGTCAACTTTTATCTTAAAAAATTTAAATGCAATGTCAGTTTAATGTCAAGCATTATATTCTCTCTTCTTAATTCCTTTTCTTTATGTTCTCTCTTCTCCATTTCAACTGAAGCAAGGAAATAAAGCCACTAAGATGCAAGAGGTTACTGAGTGTGAAAGATTGTGAGAAAAAGGAAAATAATCTTTCATACTCAGTAACCTTTTGCATCTTAGTGGTTTTATTGCCTTGCTTCAGGTGAAATGATTAACAAAAAAAGTAACAAGTGCTGAACTGTTATTTAATATCTAATTTCCTATATGCCAGTGAATGCGGGACAATTTCCTCACACATAAAGAGACTTGAAGCAACAAGATGTTTCACCAACAGAAGCTCAGAATACTATGGATAGAACATGCGAGCAATGACAAAGTTTTAAGGAAAATAGGAACAAGGAAACTTATAATTAAATGAAAGTGACTGATGAAATGTTTTTGATACATGATAAGGAAAGGGACTTAGAGAATTTAACACACATGGGACATGCTGAAGGCAAGAGAAGCAGGATGAATAAGTGAGTAACCTACTTAATGAATTTTTGTGAATGGATAGCAGAACAGGGAGAAAAAAGTGAAAAGCCACTTAGAGTAAAAAAAAAGACAAGATGATCCTTATAAAAGGATTTGGTACATAGAAGATACAACTGAATTTTTATACATACCAACATCAACTCCATCTATGATATCGCCTTGTTCATCGGGGTACATCAGCCGATAGTTATACGGGTTTTTCTTTCCACCAGCCATCAGTTCACGAACGCACCCCACCAAGCCAACCTCAACTTCAATTCGACTTTTTATTCTGCAAATAGACAATAATGGCATATAAGAACATGAATATATATTTATATTGAGGGACAGAGAATTTGAAATAATGTACTTACAAAGCTGTGAAGTTCTGGATATGTCCTACATAGAGAGGTGAGGCAAGGTTGAGTGAGGTCAGGCCTCCTGGGCTGCTGCTTCTTGACGTATGACTATGACTATCCACTTGTAGAACACCATCTTGTCCTGTGCGATAAGCTATGATTCGATGGTATTTGTTCAGCTTTATTGGTTTGGCACTGCGAATAACTGCAAGACCACTACCCAAGTCGTATCTACAAAACAAAAAAGGCAACGTTAGAAGTCAAGAAAGCATTCAAATGCAGCACTGGTGGCAAGAGTTGGCATTGAGAAAATTGGATTTGGCAAGAAAAAGTGAAGACAGGACAGGTACATAAACACAGATCCATTTTATAGATATCTGATATAAATTTATATTTGGTCAAGTTAGCTTGAACATTTATCCTGCATCAAGGTCAGAAGGTCATTAGGTTGGCATTCTGTGTCATAACATAGCTGGTCAATGTAGATGGTTGCTGGGGGACTAATTTATCTTGTGCCATGGCTTGGTGTCTAAAGCAGTTGTTTTGCTCGCCAGCAGTGTCAAAGCACATTATCTATTTGCATCAGATTGTTTACTCTCAAGGAAGTATTCTGAGTTTTCTGTAGAGTCCAAAAAAGATACTGAGATTTGAAACAGGATAAAAGTAGATACACATTGGGAAGGAGCTGCTCAGTTCTCACTTTCCAGTCCATAAGCTTCTCCGAGCCCTTCTGAATGATAAATTATTTCCACCATCCAACCTCTCTCTCACAGTCGGGATGTGGCAAGCTTTTCGCTGATCTATCTCTACTTTCACAGAAAGTGCTCAGACAAACTACATTCCTTGGTTCCACCAGTTCTAACCATCATGGCTAAGACCAGCCATATTACTCACATTGTAATGAACCCCCCACATTCCCTCTGTATTCTATTAGTGAGAAGTAAGTTTTACTCAAAGGGCTTCATCCTGTGAACCATTGCTCTATGAAACTGACTTCTAAGAGGATGTTTCCTTGATCCCTAAAATCTTAACCTGTTCAAGTCAAGGATCAACCATTATCTTTGTCTTCTATCTGCCTCTTAATGTACCCTCTACCTCAGATGGCTCCTGTGCTTTGTACAGGATGAACCTTACTGTAAAAATGTTCTGATCTTTAATTTTCATTTTGATGTTTCATACTAATTCAAATAATAATTTAAGAATGAAACTCCTATTAGTACTGGAAAGAGCTACCAGACCCTAGAAACTTATTTTCCTGGAAAACTGTTTCAAGCAAAATATTTTAGAAATTTAAACCAACTACAGTACTAGTTGCTTGGTTAATGAATACCAAATAGTTCCTGATTGCTGTTAATATTACCGTTACCAATAGCGTGAAATGATTAATAAAATAAAAATAGACTGTTTTTATCTTATAATCTTATCTGCCTCTTCTCCCTGTTAAATTTTGCATACCATATTGTTTTTGATGTTGTAAGTTCTATTCTAATAGTTTCTTTTCTTGCACTTATCATCTGTGGAAGTACTTGCTTCTCTGCCATCTGCAATCTTCAAAAATTTAAATGCAGTGTCAATTGAAATCTTATGTGTTCCTGAATCCTGTGTTTTCTCCTCACTAAAATATTCTCATTCTCTTTCACTAGCAGTAACCTCTTGTGTTCTTAGTAGCATTATCATTTTACTTGGGGTAAAAGGATTAGAAAAAAGTTAGTACTCAAAAGATTTTTTGATATTATTTTTTTAATCAAAGGCAGGGCAGTAAAGCCACTAAGACACAAGAGATTACTGGGTGTGGAAGAATTAGGAACAAAAATATTACTAATGAGTGGGAAGAGAAAAGAGTAATCAGGAGGACAGTAGATAGTGATTGACATTGCATTTAAATTTTGGCAGATTAAAGTTGGCTGGAAAGCATGGAGCTGGAAGGGAGTTCCACAAACAAGAAGTGCGAGAAAAGTAACTGTTAGCATAGAATTTATAGCTAAATCTAACCAGCTTGTATTAAGTATTTTCATTATTATATATTTTTTCAAAATTTTTATTTAGTTCCTTCATCATTTTTGCTATTGTTTATCATTTGGGAATAAAGATGTTGAAATTAGTCTTTATAATTTATAAAAAAAAGAACTCCTGTAATAAAACTAAATATCATTTACATTTATAAAACAGTAATATTAATAATAATAATAGATATTATTATTATTACTGTTTTATAATTTATATAGATGATGAGAGTGTCTGATTGGTTGATTGAGGATTATAAAAAGAAAGAAAACTACTTTTGAACGGAAATTGTGAAACAATTTCATTGGTTTTAAAGACAAGCAGATCTTTTTGAAAAATAAAAATAAAGAATTTCTAATAAATCTTATTTGGACATCTTTAATTGGCAACCGATTCACTAAATTCAATGTTCAATTTACAATGCTAATTTTTTTTACTGCTTCAATTCTGCACAATAGGGTTATTGGGTACATCTTTCAGGGCCACTGAGATTGTTTATATATTCTTGAATTTCAGGAGCATGTGGCTGAGAACACTGTATTATATGTTGGTTAAGCAAGCCATTGATAGTGAATTTATTCATGAGAAACCTAAAGGAGAATGAATGCATTGAAGCTGAATTTAAGCTTTCCAAACAAATACCTATTTAAAAAGATCTTTTTTTAAAACTATATCTTAATTATTTTTTGCTTCATACTTTCAATAAAAAATAAGTTTGAATTATAATAAAAGCTTTTTGTCTAATGTAATATTTTTAGAATATAGATAAAATATAATTTTTGCTTTTTACAATCCTCTTAAAGTTCATAAATTAAAATACCGTTTCTTAAAACAAATAAAATAGAAAAATCTGAATATCATCCATTGCTATGTTTCATTGCATTCTCTTGAATACATTTAAACTAGGTACCTCCACGACAATGCTAACAAATCAGCATATAGTCAAGAAAACATGCTCCAAATGTAATGCAAGCATAGTTTTATCATCAAAATCTTTGTTACTATTAAGAGGATGGATCAAAGTAATTTTGATTATTTAATTAATTTTTTTACTCCTTTTTAGAACATTCAAAATTTTTATTAAAAAACTTGTTTTTCTTACATCAGTGGTTGTACTAACATGTATAGAAATACATATATATATATTCTTTCAGAAAAAACTAAAAAATAAAATAAAAAAATAAATCTCCATAGATGCTTAAACAGACTAGGTGATGTCTTCTTCCACTTTAAATTTAGACACCCCAACCTTACCCTGACTTGACATCTGTGAATGTAACCGAGATATTGATAAAAATTATTAACACCTTATGCCCCTTTTTCTTTAAACAATTGCTCTAGCCGTTACCATAGAAATTTTGATTTTAATAATGAATATGCTTATAAAACACGTAAATTTCAGAAATAAGTTATTCCAAAAAAAATTTCGCTTGAAGATGGAACAGAGCTTAGTACTTTAATTCAATTTAATTCAAATAATTATATATATGAATTTAATTCAAATAATTATATATCTTGTTTTGAAACACGAGAACTCTCATGTAGCATGTTGGAATCATATTTTTAAATAAATAATTATGTTTATGCTCTACTTTTGTATCGAGCACTATTTTTTAAAAATAATAACAAAAATACTAAAGAACTTTGGATTATTTACCTAACAAGTTCTTTCCTATTTTCTATATATTTCTCACACACATTTATATATATATATATATATATATATATATATATATATTTGTATATGCTGCATCAGAAGCCACTTATTGTCACTGAGTACATAGCATCAAAGTCTTTTACTTGTGATATATATATATATATATATATATATATGATATATAGTCGCACACATACGTATCAATACACATGCTATTTTTTTTAATGGAAAACCCCAAAGGCTATTATTCGATTATTATAGCTCTTCTCAGCCCTGTCTTCTATGTGGTATTGAATTTTGCACTCAACTTGCATAGACACACTTTTATAAAGCTCACAGATGACACTTCTTCACTTTCTTGTGTGTTTTCTCATCTATTGTCTTCCCTTTCATGCCAAAGGGAACAATGTACTCAATGTTTTCTCCAGAGTTTAAGATACTTGATCTTGGCTGTATGACTTCAGATTATGGCTTTTGGATTCTCTTCCAATCTATTCTCTCAACTCCAACTGATTTCTTCTTATAACTATAAGATTGTTTTCTCTTTGTTCAACATTTCAGTGAATATCCAGAGAGCATTGGGCTGGTTAGAAACCATCAGTCAAGTGCATTTTTAAATAATTATTAATTCAAGAAATTACAATGGCAATTATCATTTCATTTTATTTATTCCTTCACTTAAGTGTCAAAGACTCCCTGAGGGGTATGGGGCCACAGTCTCAAATCTTGTAGACTCCCTGAGGAGTATGGTCCATAGCACTGAACTGCTATATACACTCTGAGGTGTATGGGGTCACAATGTGTGTGTGTGTGTGTGTGTTTGTCTATATACATATACATGCATACACAGATATGTGTATGTGTATATATATATATATATATATATATGTGTGTGTGTGTGTGTGTGTGTGTGTGTTGCATCAGTAGCCACTGATTGTCACTGAGTACTTAGTATCAAAGTTTTTTATTTGTGATATATATATATATATACATATGAATATAAATGCACACACACACATAACAATACCCATGCTAATGGAAAGCCCTAATGCCTATTATTCAATTATTATAGCTCTTCTAAGCCCTGTCTTCCATGGGAGCACAGCTCTCAAGTCCTGTAGACTCCCAGAGGAGTATGGGGCCACAACCCTCAAATCCTATAGACTCCCTGAGTATGGAGCCATAACTCTCAAGTCTCATGGACTCCTTGAAGAGTATGGGGCCCACAGCTCTCAAGTCCTGTAGACTCCCTGAGGAGTATAGGGCCTCAGATCTTAGCATTGCTGTTGGGGTTTCTATTGCAAGTAGTAGATTTTTATGGGATGGAATTGCCAGTTTTGAATTCAGAATTGTCTTATTCCTAGACCAGTTACCAAGCATGGCTAAGAAAACGACTATTTAATCCATAACTGGTGGAGACAAGTTGAATTCATACATTTCTCCAAGTTATTTGAACATAAGTGAATGCACTGAACTCGACTGAAATTCAAACTCAACACTCCAATATTCTCCTTCCAAGCTGCTTTCATTATACCACCTGAAGATCCAACTGAAGGGTTAATAAATAGTGAAAGTAATTATTTTTCTAAAAAAATGTATACCCTTATTCTTCTGGATATAATGATATTCTTACTTACCTGAGTTCTACATAGCCTTGGTTCAATGTCAGAGACACAAAGTCCCCAGATCCGTCTTCTTCTTGACTATTAAAGAGAATGATGCCATCTTTGTTTAGACTTTTGAATTCTACCTCTATTTTCATGTCTGATGTTGCATTTCTTATAAGCGGCATTCTTAGATAAGATGTCCCTGAGAACGATGGGATGTCAAATGAAACAACTGGAAAAACAAAGGACAAAAAGAACAATGAATTATGTGCTGGTTAAACAAGCCATTGATAGTAAATTTATACATAAAGAACCTAACAGGCTATGTGTGCCTTGAAGGTAAATTTGAGGATCATCTGTGTAGCACATTATAAAAATTATAAAAATTATAGACAATATAAAAATTACACAAGGCATGTTCTGGCACACATACTCACACACATTGCTATATGAAAATAAATATGAGTTAGATATAGAATCATATATGATGAGAATGATGAGTATTGTTAAGAATTGGTCAGGAAGATTTGTGAAAATTGCTTACTGTCTTTGCAGATTGAGCCACCAGTTCCCAGAGGACACAGGCATCGGTAACCCAAAGTTTCATCCATCAAACATGTTCCTCCATTTTGGCAGGGATTCAGTGCACATGTTGTATTGGTGTGAGGTACAGCCGGACGTACTGACACAACTTCTACAGTAGAATAGCAAAACCAGAAAATAAATTATGAAAATAGAGAAATTAGCATAGATATATTTGTTACAAAAGAAATTATTAATCATCATGAATTAACATTGTAATTTAAATTGTACTCTTGAAGCTCATTGATTTGACAATAAATTTATGCTAAGGCAAATATTTCTTTGTACATTGTCTTCATCTTTATTGTCATATTCATATCGTTTGCTTAGGCAAATATTTCTTTGTACATTGTCTTCATCTTTATTGTCATATTCATATCGTTTGCTTAGGCAAATATTTCTTTGTACATTGTCTTCATCTTTATTGTCATATTCATATCGTTTCAGCCATTGTACACTCTGGCCTTCTTCAGGTGATATACATTGGAATTTCAAACTGAACCCTTTATTTAGTCTACCGGGATAGATCGTTCTAGTTCCGCATGCCATACCTTTTCTGAATATCTCAGTTCCAGTTATCTCCCTTTAGTAACTCAACTCTCCAAGTTTTTAAAATTTGAATTTGAGAATGCTCTAAAATATTCTTAAAGTTTGTTGTGTAAGAAAAGGTAAACTATTTAAGACATTAAGTAAATTGCCTAATAGACAAAAATTACTAAATGTTGTTGAATTTCTTTTTAATGTAATAATTATTTATTTCTGTTATGGTCCAGTTCCTTGTACCATGGTGATAGTCCAAGGTAGAACCAATAAAGAAGAACGCGAACACAGGTATGGAATAACACAGATATATTACAAACAGGAATATATACAGAGAAGTAGAAGTGTTAGTATGAACAATCAGGTTTAGTAGTGAGAACAATGTAGTCTCGACCAGTATCACGATTCCAATGTCTTGCAGTAATTGTCTGAACGTGACTCTGTTTCGGACTGCCTCTGATTAGACTCTTGACTTGACTTGAACTACTGACGATATTCAGTCACCGCCCCACTGGGGCCTCATGTGGCACAAGGCCGTTTTTAACGTGGGATCTGAGTCCGTGGCCTCAGCCCATAAATATGCCCATTGAACCCGTATAAACAGGTTCAGGGTCGGTTTACCTCCCCAAAAGAGAATCCGCCCTTTGGCGTAGACTCCTTTGGGTTCCTCCCTGCCCGAAGACAGAGAGTTCAACCGAACAGCTGGTCAGGACTTGAACAACTGACGATATTCAGTCACCCCCACTGGGGCGTCATGTGGCACATTTTTAACGTGGGATCTGAGCCCATGGGATCTGAGCCTGTGGGATCTGAGCCCGTGGGATCTGAGCCTGTGGGCTTGGCCCATAAATATGCCCATTGAACCCGTATAAACAGGTTCAGGGTCGGTTTACATCTCCGAAAGAGAATCCGCCCTTTGGCGTAGCCTCCTTCGGGTTCCTCCCCGCCCAAAGGCAGAGAGTTCAACCAAACAGCCGGTCAAGACTTGAGCGACTGACTCCTTGCCTACTCCTGAGGCGCAGTATTTATTAAGTATGGAATAGTCCATTATTATTATTATGGGTAAGATCCCATAACAATTTCTATGTCTATTACTTTATTTAATTACTTATGTATTAATTTATTTATTTTAAATATTGAAAGGTACTCAGTTAACCATTTTCTTTTAATATTTTAAAATGTTTTATGCTCATTATGTTAAGAAGTAATTTAAAAATACAGGGCATAACAAGAATGTTTTATCTAAGTAAGTTTTCTCTTTTAATAAGCACATACATTTTTCAGATCAAGGTGGTGGTTGATTGCAAAAATGTTGTTCTTATTAAAGTTTAATTTTTGCCTTTTCATTTAATTATATTGTCTTTATATAGACATTTTATAAATATCTGAATTTTTACACATATCTAAATACACCACTTGTGCATTAATAGATGTAGATAGGTTTGCTTATCATCTGCTTCACACACCTCCCTTTTGAACAGGAGTAGAAGTTTGTCTCTCATTTCCTTTCATTGGGTTTCCTTCTAAAGTTTTCTCATTCTCTTTTACTTCAAGTAGCCCCATGCATCTTAGTGACATTATTGCCTTGCATGGAATGAATTGATTTAAAAAATATTAAAGGTTACCTAAGCAGTTTTTCTTGTCCATAGTCGGGATATATCCAGTATTGCATACACAGATTCCTAGTTCACAATGACTGTTGGGAACGTCACACAAATTTTCTCCTGGGCACAAGTCTTCTATCCTTCCTGAAATTGAAAAATTAAAAAGATATACAATTTTTGATGTATAAATTTTTATAGATTTGAAAAGTATTTAAAGAATAAAATATCAAATCATTTCAAAAGTTTGTGTCTGATTTTTCTTGTAAATATAAAATGACTGCAACTTAGCAATGTTTTGGTGCTAATTTCTGGTGCCTTATACATTGAAACCATTCATTGTTCAGTTTTGGTGCTAATTTCTGGTGTCTTATACATGGAAATCATTTATTATTCAGTTTTGGTGCTAATTTCTGGTGTCTTATACATTGAAATCATTTATTGTTCAGTTTTGGTGCTAATTTCTGGTGTCTTATACATTGAAACCATTCATTGTTCAGTTGGTAGTCAGATTTAAATGTTGCTGTTTGTCCACAAATAAATACATTAAAGACAGAAGATGAAAATTTGCACTTTTGCCATGTTATGCTCTATGAATTTCAGAAAGGAGTAAATGTTGGAACTGAGACAAAAACCTAATTTAATTTTATCATACCTGTACAGAGGTGGGGTCAATGGTATAAGTGGAAGGTGGTGGGAAGGAAGGATATGTTATTGCTTGGAAGAAGAGTTCCCTTCTTTAAAAACATCAGGTAACTGTCTTTTGTGGGGTTTCTTTTCTTTCTATTTTCTGTCTATTTGTACCACTCAAATCTGCTTGAGACTCACTTGTTCTCTGTCTCAATAAGATTTTGTCCAGTGAGATTTGTTTTTGACTTTTCTCAAAATGTTTCTCATGTTAGACATGGCATTATCATTGAAAATGTCAATTCTGCTACTGCTTTATCGTTCCACAAAACTTTGCATCTCACCCCATTTTGAAGATTAAAAAAGTAGGAACATGTTCGTCACTTGAGACACAGTTCGTCACATTTATTGTTCAGAAAATTTGTTTGTGAATCGATTTGTTCATGGTGACAGGCATTCATGACCTGAGTTTGCACTATACTGCAATTATTTTGAGTGGGAGACTTTTTTCTCTACACTCAAATATTAAGACAAGATATTTTTTAATACATAATTATTTTATTTGTTGTTTAATTTAAGTTACACAATTATTCTAGGTTGACAGTAAAATATTTTGCAGACCTAAATATACTGAAATATATCATTATATAATTTATATATAAATATATTTTTGTTTAAATGAGATAGTATTAAAAATACAGATACTTAAAATTTTCAAATCCTTATATAACCAATGAGTAAATAATTTAGTGTCAGACATTTATAAGTACTATTAACAGCAGAACTCACAAAGATAATAGTAGAATAAAGTAATTAAAGTAGTTGGGGATGCAGTCAGTGTCAAAGGGCGAATTTGAAATCAGGGTATGCAGTTCATGATGACTGTTAATGGTTATAAGAGAAATATGAGAAAATTATAAAATCAAAAATCATCATTATGTATTTAAAATTTACTTATTTACTAGCTTAAAAGCTGTATTCTGTGCAAACTTTTAAACTAACTCCTGCCTCCGGCTCAAAATGAAAGGGACATCTGGCCCACTTTAGAAAACAGCAATGATAATTTGGAAGAAATAACTCTGAATTCTTCAATTCACTCCATAGAACTTCAAAACCTCACATTAAGTTTGATTTGGACTATAAGTCCAATTCCATCCAAAAGATCGATTTGGGCTGAGAATTGAGTTCTTCAAATCCCAAACTCTGCAGAACTTCAAAACCTCAAATCATAAAACCTCTCAAACTATGATTCCTTGGAATTTTGACAAAATAAAATTGATTTCCTCAATTCACAAAGTTTTGGAGATATTTTAAACTGATTTTAAAACCAAGTTTTTGTGCTACTTTAAACTCAATATAAATAAAAAAAAAACTTTAAAAATCACTACTTTTTTACAGTTATTTTAAAATTTGAATTTTTAACTGTTCCTTCTTCATCTGGACATAAATCTCAATATAAATCACCAGATGAAGTGCAAATTTTCAATTCCAGAATCATCCTGATTCCAAAGGGGTATAATATGTCCATGTAGAGTAAGTTTGGCCCACCCAAATTAGAAGGGTTTCAGACACATGGATGGATAGACAGAATTCACCATTTATTTAAGAAGATAAATTAAATCAATTCTTCATTTCATTTTGGCAAAGTCCTCAAACACTTTGTTGTAAAAAGTATCAGTACTGTGAAACTCTACTTTAATCTGCTTCAAATCTTAGAAATGAAAACCAAAAGACTCAAGCTATCTTCATGTTAAGAACAAAAAGCAGCAGCTAACTTAACTTTTTACTTTTCTAACTCAGCCTTAACTCTTCAGCCTTCTGTCAATCAGTTCTTTCACATTCTCCGTCCTTGTGCATATAATTAGTGTGGGACTGTTATACGGAAGCAGGGGGCCTTCTCCGTTTACACTACACTTTAATTTCACTTGTTCACAATTTATCCCATGAAATGAAGAAATAGTAGGTTTTAAAAATGATGAAGAGTGCAAAAATAATACTAAAGATAAAGAATTTTTTATTACACAAAAATTTTAAGGCATGAAGTGCATGCTTTATATACATAGACACTTTGCAACAGGATTCAGATATTTTAGTTATACCTGAGAGAGAGCATCATTTCGCAGTCACATTGGCATATCTGTTAGTCTGATCTTTACCAGAAATTAGTGTCCATTTAGGCTTATATTCTAACACTTCTTCTTAGACCAGTGTTTCCCCAGAACCCTAAGGTTTTGCAAAAGGTCCCCAAGGGTTCCCCAAGGACAGGTAAGATAAGCTAATGCACTTTTGACTTTTTATTTAATTTCATAGACATAATATTACTAAACACACAGAAGATATTCTTGGTTATTGTAATATTGCCTTGATTTACCTTATGTCTTTTCAGTAATGCAAGTAAAGGATAAAAAAATAACTGATGCAGCGATTATCTGTTTACATTTATATTATAGGTATATGATATTGGTTACTTATGTTTATTTTTTACGTTTGAGTTTAGAATTTTTTTGTGTGAATGAAAACACCCTGGTGAAGTATTATAAACAAACAGTATTAATTTTATTTAGCATTACCGAAAAATTTGACAAAGAAGTATTAATTTTTCTTTAAACCAGTTACTCAAGAATATATACTATGATATTTACCACATGAACTATGATGAAAATAAAATGAGAAAGATATGGTATATAATTTTGTTTTTGTGCAAGGGTTCCTTGAGACATGTAATTTATTTTAAGGGTTACACAAGAGTAAAAAAGTTGAGAAAAGCTGTCTTAGACATACAGTGAACATATTTAGGTTTTCTTATTTATTTGATTATATATGGTGTTCTGTTAGCACAGTACCGAAACTGTATTGTTTTACTTCCTATTTATTTGTTCTTTTATTAGTTTAGTTTGATTGGTCACCGTTTTGACTACTTCTGGTTAGACCATCATCAGAACCCCTCACACTAAAGGCACAACACAAAGTATATGGTCAGTAGTTTCATCATTCTAATCTAACCCTCAGTGTTACCATCACTGGTTTGTAACTTTTATTACCTCTTCTCCCTGTATTTGCCTATTTTATTATCACATCATTATTTGAACATTTGTTTTATGAAGCCATATTTCATATGTTTATTTTATGTTCGTATCTCTCTGTGTAGAATCCTTCCAACATGTGTCCACTGTCCACATACACTGTTGCAAAATATAACCTTCTAATTTCCTTTTCCAAGAATTCACTGCAACATTGGGATGTATTCTAGTAGCAAACTTTAAATATATTCTTGTAAATGAAGTATTCACTACCTTCCTTTATTCATTTAGACAAATGGTCATAATTTTATGTTTAAGCCCCTGCTGTTTTTTTTTTTGTCATATTTCTTGTTACCCTTGTTTGTTTGTATTTTCAGATTAACTAGTCTTATATGTATTTATTTTTCTTTTCTAGTTTTACTTTTGGTTATTAATGAACCTGCTGATGTATGGGACTTAATCTTCTTCAGAGTTTTAATTGCCTGAAGGCATTTATCTGGATGTCTTTAAGATTACAGAAGCATACTCTTGAGGTCAGAACATATGATTTTTAGAGAAACTACTTCTAAACTAAAATACAATGCAGTTTAGCTGAATCCATTGCTGAAAAAAAATGGAATCAGAGGCATTGATTCTTACAGAAACAACTTTTAGAATAAAAATAGTTACCACACTGCTGTTCTCCCTGATATATAGCTGAATGTTTATATGGATTTGATGACTCAATTTTTGAAGAGACCTGTTCATGCAAAATGATTGAAACCAATTGGTTCCACCAGATTCCAATAAATAAATAAGCACTTGTAAGTAAAATAAAATAAAATGATCTATAACAACTGAGAAGAAGCAGGGGTGGATACAAGTGAAGAAAACAAGATTTTTGTAGATATTGAACAAATAAATGAACATCCTTATGTTAAATTAACAAAACAAGAATTTGATAGATATCTAAAGACTTTTCAAGCATTCTGTAATCCTTTTTTATTCCCAACAGAGATATTCATTTTACTTGTTCCTAGTTTGTTATATGGCTTCAGACTTTGTCACCAATATTTAGTTTCACATGTTAAATCATTATTTTCTGTCTCCTTCATTTGAGTTCTTTTATTGTCCTCTTTCCTTAATAGTGTTTGCTTTTATATTCTCTTATACTCAGTAACCCTTTGCATCTTAGTGGCTTTATTCCTTTATTTTTGGTGGGGGGGAGATAAAATAATTTTTAAAAACATTGCAGAAGACATAATATGTTTAATGACTACAACTAGTTTGATTATCTGAAAACCCAGACTGTGGCTATGCATCATTTCACTTCTGTGCTTACTTTCTTGGAAACTTTACAATAAATATTCATAGCTTCAATCAAACATCTTTTTCAGTTGCCTTATAATAAATTAGAGTTTTGTTTGTTTTTACAGCAACTTTTCCTCCTTTAATTTAAAGATAAATCTGTAATTTTACTTTGCTTTTCTTCAAAGTTCTACCTTTCTCCATCCATTTCTT